AAGGAGGCAATAATAAAACTACAATCCAAGCTTTGTTCGCATTATCAAATTTATAATATCTCCTTTAGATTCAGAATAATGGAATCAAAATCATCAAGGTGTGTTATATTGGGTGTACCTTCATTTGGAGGGTGCGGAAGCTCATTTTTGAGAGATTTGGCATATATTTACTCGCCAACTTGAGTCACAATTCCAATTTGGGAGTCTTTTCTGCTACATCTTATGACTCTACAAGCTTTCTCCAACATCAGGTTATTCATTTGCCAATGAATTCTTCAATGACTTGTCCCTACCACCAAAAAGCTCTAGTAAACCTATTGAATCAACAAAATCAAGCTGATACACCACAAACTGAAGGTATTTTGCAAATGCATGAGCAATTTATGAAAACCTTACAATGCACACTAAAAATCTAGCACCAAGAGCATAATCACCTTTTGCAATCTTTGCACAGACGGTAATATTGGGTGTTTTGATGCAAGATTTTGAGAATTAGATCCTAGTGTAATTGATAGAGAGCAAATCTATTTATAAAAAGAAAGGAATGCAGAACAAGAAACACTAGCATTTACATGATTCTTGACAGTTTATACCCACAAGAAGAGATAGTTAAAAATTTGTCGTAATTATAATTCAGAAAACAGAATTTATAATGATTGTATTGGGCAACTTCACCAAATCCAAAGTTTCAAAACATTCAATAACCATTCTCTTGAATTCGACATTCTAAAAGCCATATGTTACCGGTAGGTTGCTAGATCTCTTGATGGGTAAAAACCCAAAAACGAAGAGAAAATTTATGAGTGATTCCTTGAAGCAAAAGGCAAAAAGGGATTTCAAGCAGCAAAAACACATTCCATTGGCAGCATTTGCCTTGTTGATTTGTTAACTTATTGTCGTGTTGAGTAAAGAATATTTGTAGAAAAATGTAGATATCCGTTTGAGGTAAAGGATTAGTGACATTGTGTAATTAGGTATGGGTCATGGGGAGTTTGCTTTGTCTACGGAACATGGTTTGGGATAAAGGGGCTGGTGGCTGACGATAGGACCTATCACAACTGTCATAGCATCAGAAAAGCCTGTGACTTCTTACTGTCGAAGCAGCTTGAATCCGGTGGCTGGGGAGAGAGCTATCTTTCCAGCCAAAACAAGGTCGATTTCCTTTCCATTTGTTCAATGGCATTGCAGCTTACTATGGTTTTCTTGCTACTTTCCTGGGTTTTGTAACAGCTGTAGCATATCTATGTACAAGGATTACTGGGTTTGTTTTTTGAAGAACAGGAGTACACGAATTTGGAAGGAAACAAAGCGCACCTGGTGACGACGGCATGGGCAATGTTAGCTCTGATGGAAGCTGGACAGGCGGAGAGAGATCCAACACCATTGCATCGTGCGGCCAAGGTGCTGCTGAATTCACAGTTGGAAAATGGAGAATTCCCGCAGCAGGACACCATTGGAGTGTTCAATAAGAATTGCATGATCAGCTACTCAGCCTACAGAAATATATTTCCCATATGGGCCCTTGGGCACTACCTTAACCGCCTTCTGCTTCCTTCTCCCTCACAGCTCAAAAAGGCCTAGACGGACCCACTTCTGTAAATATATCAAACGCTGTGTGTGATTGTGATCAAACTTTGACTCTTTCCAAAATAATTATGCTTTTGATTTTCTATCACAGGTAAATATATTATAGTATTTGAAATTTTGAACAAATAAATTATATATTTTATTGACAAAATTAATTTTAATTATTACATTTTAAAATATATTGTTATTATTATTGTTTTGAAATATACCTAAAACATTAACAAAATAAATAATTCTTTTCAGAAGAAAAACCAAAAATATAAAAAACCAAAAGAGATTTTTTAAAACAAATTGGAAGTAATTTTTTTTATTGTTAAAAGTTTATTTAACATTGCAAAGAGGATATAATTTTTATAATTTAAAAAATCATGAGTATAAAAAAGAATATCTTCTATTTTTTAAAAAAATTTAAATATATTTTTTATTTTATGAATTTTCCAATCTTTTATAATTTCTTAAAAATAAATTTATTTTTTTATTGTTCTAAAAATTGCTAATCAATAAAAAGTTTTTTTTAATTAATATTAATATGAATTTGCCCGATGCTTGATTGTTTGCGACACAAAAAATACTAGGTTTTTCTATTATAAAATAAATTATATGACTTTTTACTTTTATTATTACACATTTAAGTTAAGATATTAAGAAAATTAATTTCAATTTTACTATGTATCTAATTTCTTTATGTTGAACTGTAATCAAATTATACTTATTATTACCTCTTACTATGTTTAAAATAATTATAATATATTTTAACTAAATTATAGCACATTTTATCAATTTTATATAAAATTCTTTATTCTCACACATTTATATTTTAATTAAAATAATATTTTTGTTAACATTAACATTTTCTTTAATTTTGCAAAATTATATTTTTTGTGTAAGAATTTTTGATAGTTAGGTTGAAGGATAGAAATTACTTTAATAGTTATTTACAAAAAAATAATGTATTTTTCCATTTTACAATAAACAATATGATCTTTTTTTAAAATTTTATACATTTATGTTATAAGTTTAGAAAGCCTAATTTCTACTTTACCATACAACTCACTTATTTACAATAAACCATAATATAGTTGTCTTTATTATTACTTTTCATTGCATTTAAAATCATTATTATTTATTTCTAGTTATAATTGAAGAATGGAAAATTCGAACCCTGCTCTTTAAATAGGAAAATAATGCACCAATCAATAAGTCAAATGTTGATTTCTATGTTTTCTAGACATTGTACATTAGATTTACATATTTTTCTCTTTATTCTCATGAAACTTTAACATTTTTATTTAATTAATTAATTTTTTTTGTATAAAATTTTTTTTACATCTAGGTTGAGGAATACAAATTATTTTAAAATTAGTTTTTCAAAAAATAATTAAAATTAGTAATAAATAATAAAATTGATCTTTTAGATGCAAAAAATTTAATTATATTAGATTACTTTCATAAGAGAATTAGTTACTTCTACCATTATCCACCAACCCAAACCTAAGACAAATTTTATTCCTAACTATTAATTAAATATTAACTCAATTAAAATAAAAATTGCATAGAGTTTGAGAATGAAATATTTTTAATTCTAATAATGTTGAATAATTTATAAATTAATATTACAAAATTTAATCATTTATACTTTTTTTTTGAAAAGTATACTTTTAAAGTTATCTATAATTAATATTGAAAAAAGCACGTGACAAAAAATAATAAATACAAATAAATGTATGAAATGTGTCTTTTGGTTATGGGTGAATACATTACTAAATACTGGTAATTTTATAACTAAAACTACCATGCATTCTCCCCTCCTCTCCTCTTCTCTGCGGACCAGATCTCCTTTTCTTATCTACACTTGCGACAAGAAATAAATGGGGTCTAAAGACAATTCATGGCCATTTGCAGGAACTGAAACTTTCATTCCATTGGTCAAGTTAAATCATGCTGCACCCCCAAATTTCAATCAACTCACAAAAATTATCTGCCTGCAACTTCAAAATTGTGAATTACTGAGGAAAGTGACCATGCATCTTGTTCCTTGAAACAACGTATCTACTCTCTGCCATACGTCGCATTGAATTTCAAGGAGCTGCTTTGCCTTGCCTTGTAACTTTGAATGGCATCGGATAGTTTCGCCATGTATCTGACATTACATCAAAGAACAACTTTAACATAAGAAAACGAGCCAGAATATTACACATAACTCTAATTGTTGCTCAAAAGTAGCAATGAACATATTAATCAAGGAAAGCCCACTCAAACGCCATTTAGACTTTCCAACTTCAGAATTTTGAGCTCATTGCCACTCGTACAATTTACAAAACCTACGTCATACCAAAGTGGCCAATGACCAAAATCCTTTTACCGGAAAACAAAATTCCTTTAAATAAGGTAAGAAACCGATACCTTAAGAAATAACCTTATAAGTGCTTGTATGAACTCAAAGTTGTTTCTACAGGAGACCTCATGAATAAAATAGTCCAATAGTAGTTCGATTGAAACCATCTCAGGTCGGCTATCAACTTCTTGCTGATTCTCATCATCTATAATTTGAAGCATCCTAAGCTCCATATCCAAAGTCGAAGGAGATAAACCTTTAACATAATCAGTAAATGCTGAAACTGCAACAAGTTAAGCACACAAAATCTGAGCTGCAATATGTTTGCCACAAATATTTGATAAAATTTCAACAGTGCAACCTTTCAGCTAAAGTCAGAAAATAATGGCATTTTATAATACTTACAGTTTTTCATCTCAGCGGAAGACTGAAGAAGTTGCAAAAATGGAGATGGTGGCATGTCAACTTTCCTGTCATTCTTTTCCAATTCATTGTCTTTTGCTTCATTATCCCCATCAGCTGGCTCACTAGGCGTGAATAATATCTCTCCAGAAAGAGATGGAATTGAAGGCAGGAAGAAAGGTGCCTTCTCAGGTTTTTTCGGAGGCTCAATTGGTTTGTTGCGAACCTGCAATTATTGTTTTAGTTTTTTTAATAATGCAATTTATGGAGTCAATCTTTGCAGAACCCTACCAAAACTGTATTAAAGGCAAAATATGATGAATGAACATATATTAGCATCCCTACTTTCAATACCTAAATACTTAAGAAAAAAGTATTCAGGAAGAGTAAAGAGAGACCTTTATAATGTCTAAATTGATCAAGCTTTGCCATTGACTTTTTGGCAATAGTGAGAGAGTAACTAGTTCTGGTATCTGCTTAATGAAAGTTGCAGAAACAGAGGTGTCTTTTGAAACTGAGTTGTCCACAACAGGTTCATTAGAATCCTCAGTTTGAGATCCATCCATAGATGAGATGGATGGCAACTTGACCTTTACAACTTCCTTTCCGCTTGCGAAGGAATCCACATTTGAAGCGCCAGAGAAGATTGACTGATTAACCCTGATCAGAATTGCCAGCCACTTAATTCTTCTTACTAAGATATAAGACCAAAACATAGTCACAAGGAACACCAGAATACCGTACATTCTGAATGACTAAAATGTATCACATTTATCCTCTTCACATTTTTCCTACTGTAAAAATTATCATTCATGTTGTTTAACTATAAGAAATTCATCACATCACATCAATAAGCTTCTTCCAGGTTTTTCAGCTACTCAGTGTGAATAGAAAGATCACAAAGAAGATAACTTCAACTAATAGCCAACTTCTTTGGCCTATAAAGATAAAGGTAACAAAATTGAAAACTTACCACAGGTAAACCCCATTCTGATCAACATGGGTAGTTGCTAAAACATCCATATTTGGTGACAAGGACAATGCTGTGATAGACACATCAACATTTATAGCATCAATTTGTCTTGCTAAGACAACATCCCAAATTCTCAGACTCCCATCCATGCTGGACGATAGAAGCCATTTGCCATCCTCACTAAAACACAAGTCAGTAATACGGTCTGTATGGCCTTCAAATTTACGAACCATTCTTAATGCCACAACATCAAATATACGGATAAGTAAATCATCAGTTACAGTGGCCAAAAGACCTGCAAAATAAGGTCAACATAAAAGCAGTTGCTAAATATACTAAGAAATCGGAATGCATAGACAGAACAACCACATAGCTGCAGGAGTACATGCACACAACACACACACACGCAGACAGAGAGAGAAAATACCAGGGTTCAACACTGATAATTAGAAAGATCAAAAGAAGCGCCTACCGTTGAGACGATTGTAAACAATCTTAACAACAGCACATCCAATTTCCCACCTAGATTTTAGTTCACGTCCCTTGAAATCCCATACCTGCAGAGAGTATCAATTCGATGAATTATAATATCCAGTAAAGTTTATAAATTAGGATAAGTTTCCATCAGAACTTGTTGCTAGTAGCTGGGAAATATTTCAAAGTAAACACAAATTAAGGTGGATCATCAGGTGCTAAAAATGCTTTCCTGTTGGGAACAAAAAAACAAAAGGTGGTAAAAATGTTTTCCTCACAACAACCACAATATACAGCCTCTATAAGGTTATAAATGCCCATTTCCCAGGTACAATTTTATTTTTACCCAATTTCTACCTTGGGCTATGCAAAGGGCATAAACAACCACTTTTGACCCACTCACAAAAATTCGGTACAATTTGGTGTCCAGTGTCACCAAGGAGTGTGCTTGGGCCATAAGGGGTAGTGCAATTTAGCAGCAGCAATTCACACCTTTCCAGGCAGAACACACTTATCAAGTTAAAGAGCTTGAGTGGCAAATGACACAGACCAGGCAGTGGCCCTTTGATTTCTTTAGTTTTCTAATTTTTATAATGAATTTTTAGTTGACAAAAGAAGGAGGTCAAATGTTACTCATTTAAAACAACTATATCCACATATTACTGTTAGAAGTCAGTATTAGATTACGATAGTAGAACAATTAGATAGGAAAGAATATACCTTAATGTCCCCATGATATCCTGCGCTTATCATTAAGGTATTTGTAGAATCACAAGCAACCCCAATGACCTCTCCATCATGAGCACTTCT